TGGCGCAGAGGGGGGCAAAGAGCGGAGGGAAGGAAAACCACAGAGGAGGAGGCACTGTTGCAGCATTGCTAGTAAGACAGGCCTAATTCCTCCTCTTGTCTGTCCACCTTTTATCTTAGCATTAAGGATTTGCATTGCCATATCACTGCAAGTGCTGTACATGCATGGAGCCAACCCCCAAAGTGCTGGAGAAACCAGCTAGTGCCAGACTAGAGGTGGTGGTGGTAGGGGAACAGCATGACTTCGTTAGGCAGCCTGATCAGAGGAAGAGACCTGTAGGTAGGGGAGGCAGAGCAGAAGTACTGTTTCATCCATTCTTCCTTGGCACCACCTAGCAAAACCTGCATGAAGGCAGGAGGATGAGTGCAAGACGGGGCACAGCTGGGAGGTGTTGGACTACGAGGCTGGCACAACTTGGCATCAGCATGCCATAGAAGTTGGCAGGGCAGGGACCTCCAGCAGAGATGTCCCTTAGCCTGGGAGCAAGGCTGGATGAGGTGTTGGGAAGAAGCTAGGTGTTGATAGAGGCAACCTGCTTGACACTGTCAGCTCTGCAAAGCAGCAGTCTCATGTACATACACATACAGCACCTAGCACCATAGGGCCCTGATCTCTAGGCACTAAGATAACAAATACTTTGACTAGATTTCCACCCTTACAGCAGTGCGGCCTCTTCTTCCTGCATTTTTGATGCTATGCCTGGAAACAGGGACCATCCTTATCTTCCCTTCCCTGAGACCCAGGCATCTACAGCTCAAGAGAATCAGGGCCCCCTGAGCTGGCCCTGTTACCCCAGATGCAGTAGGTACTGTTTGCCTGGTAGCCACCTTCACTTGCAAAGCAACCATGTGCCTCTCCCCACTGCCCAACCTCACGGTGGAAGGACCGACTTCCTGAAGCACGAAGCGGAGCAGCGCAGCTGTGAGTCGAGCTTCAGCACCTTGGACAGAAAGAACAGTCCTGGCTCTTTCCTTCAATAAAGGAGTGCAATAAGAGGACAAGGCTCATTTGTGTGTGGGTGGTTGGTTGTGGGAGTAATTAAAATGCTTGACTGTAACGAGCCCGCAACCCCCCCGGGAAAGGATTTAAATCTGCAGCCAGGTGCTGGGTTGCATTAAGCATAGCTGTGCAACCATGGTATTAACCCACCTGGGCTGCCAGGTATAAAATGCAAGGCAAAGCAGGAGAGGAGCACCCTGCCCTGCCCCACCCTGGTGCTTTTTTCCAAGCAACAACCTCACCTCCCATCATGACACCTTGGCAGAGCCTGTCGGTCTCTTGGTCTCACTCCAGCCAGCTGCAAGGCCATTGTGGACAGGAGGGAGGCTGAGCTTGCTCTGCGCTCTCAGGAGATGTCCTGAATAAGGCCTGCATCTGGACTCCTGTTTTGGAGGGGAGGGGAGGAAGCCACCAGGCCTGGGCTCCCTCTAGAGCAGACGGGAGAGGCAGAGCCTGGCGCTTCCTGCATTTAAACACACAAGTCCTGAGTTGAAGCCATTCCCCTTGTTTCTACCCTGGACACTCAAGGCAATGAGCAGGAGGGAAGTGCAGTAGTTGGTAGCTCAGCAGGAGTAGCATGGGGCAGCATGGGGATAGATGAACAAAGAGCCACGACTACCCAGTGTACGATGCTGTATGAGGTGCAGTGAGGGGAGAAGGGCAGTCACCAGTGCTGCCAGTCTCCAAGACTGCACTGTGGGATCCCTTGGGCACCTCTGCTCTACACAATGACTGGGACCGGAGCTGAATTGAGCAAGTCCCATTTCTTACCAGAGAGGCAGTCACACACCTGGGGAAAATAAAGCCAGCGCCAGCACCCATTAATGGCTAGGGAAGAAATCAGGATGAGCTCCAGCTAAGGAGAAAACCAGAAGAATCTTGCGTACAAACACCTCTCAGGCGTGGGATGGAGGAGGGGGCAAAAAATAACCCGGTAGAATCTCATTTCCTGTACAAAAGGACCAAGCCACAGCAGAGCAACTAGGTCATGGGATCCTCACACATAGGAGCAGAGGGGTAAGGACACCCAAACAGCACAGGCTTTAAAAACAGGTTTCTGAAAGGGATAAAAAAACCCTCCTGCTTTAGGGTATAATCCAGGGGACAGCCAACCCTTCAGCGGGGCAGGTACAAGAAAATGCATCCTGCAGACAGATGCCACCTTGCTGTCCGGAGGGCTGCTTCCTTGTAAGCAACTGGTACTAGCCACTGTCAGAAAGAGAACGGACTAGAATAATCACTCGTATCAACAATTATAGTAGTTCTTGCTGGTGCCCTATCCACAAGTGCCTGCTAATATAAAAGACATGAACAAACAGCACCATTATTTCTTACATGGAAAAAATTCTGGTTTTTTTGCGTTGGGTCTATTTCACCATTGATTCCCCACCAAATCACAGGTGTCAGACAAATAAGCGAAGCAGAAAGAGAAAGAACCCACGAGGCCCAGGACATGCAGAAGGACACACACCAACATTTTACTCTCAGACAGGTTATGGTTACACAAATATGTCCCAAGTGCCAAAGTTCAAAATAAAAATATATTCATACAAATTTAAAAAAAATAGTTTATGTACACCGTGGAATCAGCTTCCGTCGTCTCCGAACAGAACAGTGCAAAAAAACCAAACGGAAACCAACACAAATGAGATACGTTGCTATAATCGGAACAGCTCACAGGACAGAGGGGTCACAACCTGGAACCACTACAAACACTGCACAGGAACCCGGGACACCGAGCCAGCGCCCCCCACTGTCCCAAGCTTTCGCCATCAATACTGAGCCAGTACTCAGACTCTGTTCTTTAGTGTTGCTCTGAGTAAGGGTTACAGGCACCTGTGTTAGGCTGATATTTCTTTGTACGCCGAGGAGCAGCCAGCGCCAGACCAGAAGCAGTTAAGGAAGTGAGGAAGTTACAAGACTGGCTAGGGGCACGGGGAAGTCTGATGAGGTTAACAAGAGCCTTTGGACCCACCACCCTGGCAGGCGAGACATGCTGCGTTACAGACTGCCATGCTGTTCCATTGGACCCAGGTGCTATGGCCAGCGCCGCTAGGCACACACACCAAGTCCACTCACGGATTTCGCTTCAAAAGACCAGCGGGGTCCCATCCCCTGCCCCAAGCTCTGTGCTCTCTGGCACAGCGAGAAGAGGAACTCGCTCCCTTTGCTGGAAGTTTGTACATGGGACAGGTGGGCAAAGCAAGTGGCACTGGAAGAGGGCTGGAGCCAAGCAGCACAGGGTGCTCAGACATGCCTGGGCAGTACCTTTCAGCCAGGTTCGTTGTCCTCCAGAATGAAAATGAGATGTCCAGCCACACCCTGCACTGCCCCAGCCCGAAGAGGAAGAGAATGGGACAGAATTAGCTCAAGGCAATGGGCAAGAAGGGAAGCAGGAGACCAAACAGGACTTGGGAGAGATGAGGTGGGAGGGACAGGACTGGCACTCAAGGGGGAGAGGTAGGCATGGCAGGTCCTGGTCAATGCCAACAGCACATCCTGCAGCATCCCAAACTCCACCCGAGGGAGGTCTTCATGCTCAACTGCACGATTGGGACCAACCCAGGAGCAATGGCAGTGAGCTCTAGAGAGGCTATTTCACACCTGCAGCCCAGCTCTGGAGAGAGAAAGGGGTCACCTGGAGCTCTTTCCTGGATACGTTTGTTCTCTCTCACAACAGGGACACAGACATCCTTGTCCCCAGAGCACAGGCGAAGCGAGCTCTATAGAAGCCACCTCTCAACACTCCTCACACAGACTTGGGGGAGGCTCACAGAAATCCTCCCACAAGGCAGAAGCACATGTCCAAATCTATTCCCTGGGTAGCTATTTAGACTAACATGGCATAGGCAGCTAAGACAGCTGCCTCTGGGAATGAAGATGGCCCTGAGGAGCACAGCAGTACTACTCCCACCCAGCAACAGTCTGAGTGAAGGCACAAGATAGAGGGGCTGGCACTAAGATCCCTTTGCTTCACGCTGTGCGGCTCACACCTCACCTGAGCTAAGCAGAGAAGGCTCCTACAAGCGAGCAGGACTGCTCAGAGTGGTGGCGGCAGAGAAAGGCAGCTGGAAGATGGTGGAAATAGGTTTAAACTCCCACCCCAGAGGGCATCCCCAAGCCAGAAGGCACGGTTCCAACAGCATCCAGACAACCAGAGGAGCTAGAGGCTGAGGGCAAGGGTGCCGTGACAGGCATCAGGCTTATCTCATCATACTCTGGATGGCACAAACCTTTGCCTGTTCTGAGCACACAAGCAGGGCTCAGCCAGAGAGGTCTGCTATCAGCCTCCAGTGAGGGAGCAGACAGGGAGAGGCCTGGAGAAGGTTAACAAGCTCTCGTGGGAGACACTGTGGCAGACCCTCCAGGGACTTGCCAATGGCAGCAAGGAGTCAATAACCCAGCCTTGGCTTGCACTGTGTTTTCCTCCTGCAACAACTCTTCTACCTGCAAAGATCAACTGCACCCAGACCCTACAGCTTGGGTCTATTCACACTGCCACCCCATGCAGATGAGATCTGCTCTGAAACCAGCTTGTTCACCTGGAGTATCCCCTCCCACACCCCAAGGCAGAGGCTGTCCCAAGAGCTAGCCAGAGTGGGACACTCCTGCCGCCTCACTGCAAGCAAACCAGTGCACCACAGGCCCCACCAGTTTCAGCCTGAAGAGGCCAGACACTCCCCAGATCACAACTCCAGGCAACCCCTGCACATAGGGCACAGAAATGGTGACTTCTGCCCTCCAGATAGCTCCTAACAAGCCAGGACCCCAGACACTTCCTGCTGCAGCCACGCTGCCAGCGAAGTCCTCTTGGCACCCAACAGGTTAACAGGACTGCAGGGAAGCCTTCCTCAGAAGCATTCCCCAGGCTCCTCAGCCCAGCCTCTCCAAGGGAGCAAAGCAAAAAAGCTCTGTGCTTTATCAAGCCCATCAGAGCCTGGGCCCCTGGAGGCAACGAGGCCAGCTTCCCACAGAGGGTTATCTGAATGCAAACCCACAAGGGCAGGAGCCTGCTGGAACAATACAGGTGCTGGCCAGGATGGTACCTGTTGAGGCACCAGACTGGCTGCGACTGGCTTCAAAGTGCTGCCTTGGCCCTCCAGGCGATTCTGCTGCCGCCAAGATCCTGGTGCACTGGGAGCTGTGGACAGCCCCTACCACTGCTGCTCTCGAGCCCAGCAATCACAAGCCTTGAGTGCTCCTGCTGCCCTGTCAGCATCACACCTCTGCTGCTCACAGCAGGGATGATGTGGACTGAGCCAGTGGATGGGGGCAGCAGCTGGGAGAAGACTGTGAATTTAAGCAGAAGGAGCAACACATTCCTCTGGGGAGTGAGGAAGTAGCCCTTCCTCCCTCTCCTTAGCCCTAGCAATGAAAACACCCTGGGATCCCCAGGCCTGAACCCAGACAGCAGGCCACAATGCCTGTATAACGTTCCTATGAGGCGTTCCACTGCATTACAGGAGAAAACAAGAACACCCTATAAAAGCTCTCTTCCAAGGGGAATCCTTGGCCACAGCTAAGGGGATGAGGGGCTAGGATCACTTTCTCATGTCACTCTGTGAAGCACTCCTCATCCAAAAGAGGCACAGCTACAAGCTATTGTGGATTCCTGACTTGCACCAGCAGCTGATTGCTGAGAGCAATGGGACAGCAGGGATCCCAGCACTGGAAGGGCAGGAAGGAGCTTGCAGAAGTGACATGAACAGACATACACCAGAGAAAAACTGGTGCAACTGGGGTCTCCTGGGGGGAGGGAGCAATCTGGGAACAGCCATTCACCTAGGAGTGGGCTCTTTGTTAGCAAACTGCAGTGTCTGATTTCAGCCATGGCAATGGTCCCTTCTCATGTGAGTAAGGCAACTGCTGCAGGAGCAAGAAGGGAGACAGAATGAACAAGGAGGTGGGGGAGCATGGTTTTCACCCTGTAGGCAGAGCAGTGCCAGGGCAACACCTGATGCCACACCTGGCAGGAGCAGGGAAGGAGCGATGTTTTGGGCTCAGAGTGGTCAATGAAATGCCTCTCTAGGCCAGCCAAAAGCTTCAGGCGCAGGTGTTTCCTTGATCCTCTGGCCAGCCAGGTGGTCTTCAGTCCCCAGCCTCCGTGCGCGAGGAGCCGCTCAGCAAGTCGGCCATCTGGGGTCCAAGCGGAATGTGGGTGTGTGATGGAGGGGTTGGCACCAGGCTGGGTTGGGGCAGGGTCAGAGGGTCTGGTAGTGCTGCCTGAGCCGCGCCTGCAGGAACTCGTGCGTCAGGTTGTGTCGAGTGATGATGCCCACGATCTGTTTGGAGGAGACAGAAGGATGCCCCAGTCACTTGCAGCTGGGGTGCCCACATGCAGAGGGTGCAGTTCAGGGAGCTTTTTGTCTGACTTGAGAGCCAAGGAAGAAAAGCAGTTCTCGGAGAAGCTGGGTGTGAACCTGCAGCAGAAGCCAGTGCAAATTCCCTCTGCCCCAGTACAATTCCCCCCCTCACTGCTGTTCTGCACCCACGTTCTACGTGAGGGACACCAGCAGACTGCAGTGGGAGCTGCACGGCAATGGGGATGCAACAGCTCAGTTCCCTGGGCACACAGGAATTGCTAACCCATGCAGCCCTGCACAAAGGGAGCTGCACTAGCAAACCTATGTTAATAGGGATATCCTCCCCTTAACAGACCTAAGTGCAGTAAGATGGAGATAAGACCTTAAGTCACCAACTTTCAGCTTCTGTGATTTAACTGGCATGTGCCCTATAATAACCCCAACCTTTTCAAGGCAGGTGCATACATGTGTGAATATGAGGGGTCACTGGTGCCTGAGTGTGCAACTGCTGGGTGCCTACCAGGCAGCACTGTAGGTCAGGGCATGGAGGAGACTCTTAAATCTCCACTAGGCCTCTGGTGGCAGAGCCTGAAGCCTTGAAGTCTGGGCAGAGGCTGAACGACTAGATAGGGAACAGAACCCAGCACTCAGCCCATTTCCACATTCTTCCACAGAGGTGTTTTGGACAACACACGCAAGCACCAGCAAAAGCTTGTACCATCAGCTGGCAGGCTCAGAGACACCTCTTCCTGTCTCACTCTCGCCACATCTGGCTGGACCTTCAGGGCATTTGTACATGTTTCAAAAGCACCCGGCCCTGCAATGCATACCTTTGTATAAGCAGCAAAATGTGTGTCAGTGCTGAGAAAACGGTGGTGGCATGGTCTTGAACTAAAACACAAATATGTTTTAGCTCAAAAGTGCACTGCTGCCATTTTCTGCGCACTGACATGCATTTTGCCTTTTATACAAATGTATGCGATGCAGTGCCAGGCGCATCAGCTTGTGTACAGAGCAGTCTCAGTTAATCAAATCTGCTCCAACACACTGAATCTCTGGCATGTCAGAGCACACAAATGTACGTGTATAAATGCCCCTAGCAACTCCTAGCTCCACTCCAGCTCCTGGATTAATGAAGGAGGTTGATGCTTGGTTTATGGGAAGCTGATGACACCTGCTGGTCACTTTTGGCTACTGAAGGTGCCATGACAAGATGTCAAAAGCAATTAAGTTCAGAGAGGCAAAGGGGAGCGTCTCCTTGAGAGTGCATCAGCTGTTAGGAAGTGCCTGTTGCATGTATCACTACAGAAACACACACGTGTGCCAAATCTGACTGAAACAGAGCTGAAGTTATCATGGTTTTGCTATGCTCAGGCTAGAAATAGACGTTGACTAATGAAGCTGATCAGTCATGCTGTAATGTATCCTGGCACAGCTGATTGCTTCATCAGATGCAACACACATTGCCCCTTGTCCCACCATTAATGGTGGAGGACAAGGGCAACCTGATCTCCCTTCCCACCCAGATCAGTCCCCCATGATTGGTGGGGAGAATATATGGTTGAGCAGGAAAGGACCTTTCCCTGATCAGCTAGATTTCCTCCTGTGATTGAGGGGGATGGGTCCGGCTCAGCAGGGAACCACAACTTTCCCACTTATGGAGAGGCACCCCAGATTCCCTGGGTTGCCTCTCTAAGCAGGGAAAGCAGGCAGGTGTCCCTGGAGCTTGGGGAAAATCCCAGAGCCTTCAAAACCACAGTGGCTAGACAGTAGAAACAGCTCAGGCTGCTCTACCTTCCTGCCACAGGGCTAAAAGCATCTGCCGCACCACTGATTTATTCTTTAACATGATGCAAGAGGGTAGCAATGTCTATGGGCTCACCATTTGGGCTGCCAGAAACATTTTTATGGTGGGACAAATGAGACATCAGGCAATGTCTGTTTCTGCCCTTACATCCTTACAGAGGCATGCGCACATGACAGCTGCATGGTAACAGCTTGCACTGAAGTCAAAGGATTCCAGTGTAATTGGTATCTACCTAAACCCCAACTCTGTCGTTTCTGTGCTTTCCACCTCCTGAAGGAATACAATGCAAATCACCATCAGAGATGGTGTCTCCACTCGGTACTCAAGTATTTTATTACCAGGGCTCGTTCTGGCCTAAATAGTGCTATTTGTGAAGAGTTCTGTAAAGTGGCCCAAGGTCTGGGAGTGGTATCAATCAGGAAAAGCTTCCTAAGGTTGCCAACCAGGGCTGAATCCAGCCCACAGACAGGACAGTGGCTCAACCTCACACAAAGCCTCTTGTAAAGCTTTACAAGAGGCATCAGTCAAGGCAGTTACAGTGACATCCAGATGCCCAAATGTGTCCATTAACAGATTCCCCTGCTCATGTTAAGGGTGGTAGGGACAGCACATCCCCCTCCACCAGAACTCACCTCTCCCACAGCATTCACAACAGGTAAGTGTCTGAGCCCCATGGTCCTGAACAGATTGAAGACTTGAGAGACATGAGTGTTTGGGGAGACTGTGAAAGGAGATGGGTTCATATATGGGGTGACATCCTAGGGGAAAAATAAAACAAAACAAGGGGTTCAATTAGTGTAGTTTCAGAGCAGGCGTTGGTGGCCCTAGAAGCTGACATGGGGTTGCCAAGGCACCTAACAACTGACTCCAAGTTCTCCTTCTCTGCACAGGGGAGGTGCCCCCAAAATCCTTTTATTTCTACACACCCCATCCTAAAATAGGATTCAGTGCTGCCATGAACTTCTGACTGCTGTTAGTCCAACTGACTGGGCAAGTGCCAAGTCTTCTCAAACCCTACCTGAGAGTAGAGAGATTGCCAATATCTTTTGTTTTGCTCAAACCCAAGACCCAAACCCATTTCTTCTCACTTAGACCACAACTCAAACTGATCTGAAAGCAGATTACGTTGTCCTGGCCCAAAATACCCACTCAAATCTGGAATAAGAGTGTCCACACAGAAAGCTATTGCAGAATTGCTGTTCCAGGCAGTTTTCCTACACGCACAAGTCCCGAGGCTGGCAGACAGTAGTGGAACATGGCTTTTCAGTCACCATCACCCACAGCAATTTGCATCTGTACCTATACATAAAATACCACTAACAAGGGGGACAGAGCTAGAGTTTGGCACTGAGCCCTCCTATTGGGCTTCCTCAATCTGAGGTTATGGAGGAACCTTTTTAAAAAGGTATTTGGACATTTCTGTGCCTCACAAAGAGGGTGCTACAACATAGAAACAAGCTCCTGTCAGCTTCTCTTACCACTATCATGCGTGGGTTGAGCAACGTGAGGTCCAGGTCATGAATATCTGGGTAGCGGGGATAGTCCTCGGCCATCTCTGCATAGGACAGGCGGGGCTGGTTGGCACTCTGGAAGATAACGGTATTCCTATCAGCTGAGTGCCTGGGGCTGCATAAGGGCACAGCAAGGATGTAGTCCACGCTGACCACCCACGCCCCACCTCCACACTCAGAAAGCTACATACATGCGGAGAAGCATGGTCAGAGACCAATGCAAGGGAGCGGGGCCAATGGAAAAGGGACAAGTTGCTTTTTCAGCAGAGGAAAGGACTGATCCGTCTTCTGATTCACTGGGGTCTAAGTCCCCACCCTGTAAGGCAGCACCAACAAGCTGGTGGGGGAGGGTGGGGCAGCACATAGGCAAACAATTAAATATTAGTATCTTCCCTCCTTTCCCCACTCCTGGCAATACACCATGCATTTGGGCCTAGAACCTGCATCCTTCTCCCAGGCCTGCCTAGGTGGATAGCTGCGGTCAGGGGCAGATCCAGGATTTGGCAAAAGCAGGTGCAAGAGCAGCCACCCATGCTGATGGGGTGGTTGCACCCCGCTCCCAGCCTCTTCCCTACCGCAACCAACTAGTAAAGGAAAACTGGGCTGTAGGAGCCTCTAGGGACTTTTTAAAGTTTCCTAAAGCAGGCAAGCTTCCCCCCTGTGTTCAGACGCATGTCCCCTCCTCTTCCCGCCACCCAAACTCTACTTGCTGCTGATTCTCCCACTGGGAGGGGAGGGGAGGGAAGGGGCAGCTTTAGAGCTACTCCTGTCTGCTCCAGCTGAGCTGGTTAGCTGGGAACAGTGGCAGCAGCAGGGGGTGGGTGGGTTGGTTCCCTCAGAAGCAGGAGTGGGAAGCCATTGTTGCTACCAGTGCTCTAGACAAGCCCAGCCACAGCAGGCAGCAGTGCTGGAGACTCTCCTGCCCCTGGGACAACAGACAAAGCAACTACAGCAGGTGGGACACAGGAGGAAGGAGGGGAGGGGACTGGGGCTGTGCAAAACGGATAGGTCTCGCTTTGGTTTTGGATTTGGCAGTTGCAGAGGACAGTGATTCATTTCAGTGTTTCAGATCACTGTTCTGTTTTGATTTGGCTGAATCCGTTTCAGAGTTTTGACACTGTTTCGGTGCCAATTCGGATCAGCCAGGGAGAGGCAGGCACAGCTGCAGGTTCTCCCATGGCTCCTCTGGCTGCGCCTGCCTCTCCCTGGGCAGGGGGAGCTGCAGGAGAAGCCCCCATGGCTGCCCTGCCCTGCCCAGCCCCACTTCCCGCCCGGCCCCAGCCACCCGGCACTTTAAAAAAAAAAAAAAAAAAACTAAAAAAAAGCCCTGCACTCATCAGCTGAAGCAGAGGTGATTAGGGCCTCTCGGTGCTTGTGGCAGAGCCCCCCCTGAGCAGCACAAGGCAGTGGGGGGCAGGAGGGATTGCACCCCGCCCTCCCTGAGCCTGGCACTGCCCAGCCCCAGAGGTCCCAGTTCCCAGACAGCCCGTGGCACCCTGCCAGGTCATGCTGCATCCACGCTATGGGGCAGCTGACGTGTGGATGCCAAGCAGGGAGGGCAATCCCAAGGGCTTTTTTTTTTTTTTTTTTAAATGTGCTGAGAGGCTGGGGCCAGGCAGGGGATGGGGTTGGGCAGGGCAGCCATGGGGGCTTCTCCTGAGGCTTCTCCAGCTGTGCCTGCATCTGCCCCAGCACGAGGAGCCACAGGAGAAGCCCCCCATGGCTCCCCTGCCCTGCCCCAGCCTCCTGGCACTTTAAAAGGAGGTCTGCGAGGCTGTGCTGGACTCTTCCCAAAACGTTTTGGATGGTTTTGTTTCTTTTTGGAGATGCTTTGGATTCAGTGTTTCGGGTGCTGAAACGGGCTGAAACACCTCTGAAATGAAACAGCTGCCGAAATTTTGCACAGCCCTCTGACGGAGAGACAGAGGAGATGTGGCTCTGAGCACGGAGGGGAAGGGAGGATTCTATTCCACTTCGGGACTTTCTTGAAGTCCTCAAAAGCTCCAGCAGCATGGACCAGTCTGACGGGGGTGCAGCCGCGCAACTGCACCCCCTCAGGATCTGCCCAGCTGCACTCATACTCATTTCAAAGCCATAAGGCAGAATTTAGTTTAACCAGCTGCAGCTTCAAAGTGAAGATGGGAGTGACCATGCTGTATACCCACCCTGGGTACACTGTTGGCCCATCCACTCCTCCCAGCTGGCTGTGAGGAGACAGCGGGCTCAGAGTCCTTCCAGGACCCTGTGGCACTCACCGACTGACTCTCAGAGTAACACACTCCACGGACGAGCAGCGTGACCAGCTGTGAGCGCAAGATGAGGCCATGAAAGGTGAGAGGTCGGAAGCGCTCCTCCATGGTCCACTCCTCACTGGGGGACTGGTCCGGGTACAGGTTGGGGTAGGGGGTATATCTGCGACAGAAATACCTTGTTACAACCTGCACCGACTATCTCACGTGGTAATGGCAGAGAAGCCTCTACCATGACTCTCTGCCCCAACGGATGTTAAAGGCCATCCCTGTATGCAGTGCCCTCACCAGAGATGGACAAACACTTCCCCACCACACAGAATGCAGCCAAGAGGCCAAGCGACTTACGGACCACGTAAGGCAGCAACAGAAGAGCCAAGCTAGGATTTCCCAGGGTCCAGACACCAGTGCAGGGCTTGGGAGGAGTCTCAGCCCAAGCCCCTGCTCTGCCTCAGTCTTCCCATGAGAGGAGTCTCAGGCAGATCACTCCAAGTCCCAGGCCACAGCTCCTCACAGATACTAGCCCCGCCCCACTGCACTACTGAGGTGCCTGGCCCCTGTGGTGACAGCAGGCAGGTAAGTAAGGTTCACAGATGGACATGTCCTGTTCCCCTGGCCCCACCTTCTCTCCAGCATTTGCTGCAGTAGGTCCTCCTTCTCAGGTGGCTCCTCCGTGGTGATGTGCTCGTCACACATGTTGCGCAGCTCACTGGATGGGTAGGACTTCATGGACTGGCTTCGCTTGCGTTGCTCCCCTGCCCGGGTGAGGATACTAGATTTCTGCAGGCATGAGCAGAATTGTGAGTAGCCTGGACAGTGGGTCACTGGTCAGATTGGGGCAGAAACCAGCCTGGCCCCTTTCTAGCCTAAGCCCTTGGAATGGTTTTATGTCACAGGCAAACGGCTCTCTGGGATGATGCACTGCAAGGATGCCGGGATTGACTGCATCCTTCTAGCAGAGTGAAACTAGAGATGGAGCAGGGCTGCTGGTTGATCAGCATCACAGTTGCTCTTTTCACCAACCCTTCCCAGCCAGCTTTAAGTGTCTCACAAGAGGTAGTTTCCCTCCCACACTGCTCTATGTCTCCAGGAGCAGTTTTACAGCCTGAACATTGTGCTGTTGGAAAGCGAGTTTCCTCCTGTTCGGCCACAGTCTACAGTACAAGGGATGGGCTGAACCTCTAACCCCACCACCCAGGGACCCTAGGATTAAGCAGACGACAAACTGGGCACTAGGGTGGGTATTGATCCTGCTCCAGCAGCAGGAGAGACCCAGCCAAGTGCCTTCCTACAGGACAGCAGACAGCCACCCAGAGGCTTGCTACCTTCTCACCTTGAATTTAATGTTGTTACTGATGAGCTGGTTCCCTTTCATGAACTCCCTCTCATTGCCCCGGTTCTCAGTCACCACTGGGAAGGCATGATGGACGGTCGTGCGCAGAATGCTGACCAGGGACTGGATGCGGGTGTGGGGGTAGACGTAGGTCAGGTTTGGCTCCATGATGTCACTGGCTCGCAGCCTGGGGCAACCGAGAAATCCAAAGGGGATGCAGGGATGCTGCTGGGAGCAGGTGTGCAGTCACATGCCAGCATGGGGCAGGGCTGGTCCCATGCAGAAGTATACCAAGCAGAGTAGATGGAGAACAAGAGTTCTCCAACAACACCCAAGGGGCTATTGTTTCTATTAATGAAGTGCTAAGGCTGTGATGTTTTCACCAGCCCCTTACCAATGTACTTCACAGGCTCAGATGTGGCATGGCAAGCAGGATCTCTGCATACAAGGGCAATGCCCTAGGGATCTTCTACCAGCCCCAGGGAGCCCTGCCACACTGCCACCCATCAACGGAAAGTGGGGCAAAGGGAAGCATAACAGGTACATTATACAATTCTTAGCTACATTCTTAGCTTCCTCAGGCAATACAAACTTCACTCTGGAGATGAGAAAAATTGCATGCCCTGCACAGAAGAGGGAGACTATGTGGGAAGGCTTGCCTGACACCCAGTGTTCTCAAGTAATGAAACCCCACTCCTCTTCCACAGCAGCCCTTCAGTTGTGGGAGCCTCAAGGCACTTCCCAACACCCTCAGAGAGAGTGCAATGGGAACTCCTAACAGCCCTTGATGGCAAGTACTGGCAAAAGCAGCCCCCCTTACTTGTCTGTTTCCACCTCAGTCTCCCACTCCAGCAGTGGCACCCCCCGCAGGGTCACGTGGATGTCATAGATGCCCTTGTTGAAGAAATCCCCTGTCCATTTGGCCACCTGGAGAGACAAGGAAACCAACAGCATGACAGCATCTTGTGCGAGAGAAGAAGCAGGTCAATGCATGGAACCGACACCCACAGATAGAAGCTGGAATCAAAACCCAGCAAAGAGGAGGATGTGGACTCACCATCAGTGTGATCATTATCGGAAGTCCATACGAGATCTCATTGGTGGACTCTATCAGGATAACAGTGAGGCTAATCGTCATGCGGACCACGCCCCCAAGGAAGGCGGCCGCCCCGATCAACGCGAAGGTCCCTGAGTAGATGTGGTCTAAGCCAATGTAGCTGGGGAGGAAGGTCAGATGTGGTATTAGGACAGCACAGCTGAAAGAAGACTGGTGGCAGCAGCCCTACCACACGTACACAAGGCACCTTTTCAGGAGGTTGGCGACCAGCCGTCCGAAGGCAGCCCCGCAAAGCAGTGACGGAACAAACAGGCCGCTGGGCACGGAGACCCCATACGTCCAGCAGGAGAGGAAGAAATAGAGAAGGAAGAACAAGGAGAGTGTGACTGGGCTGAAAGTACCTGCAATACAAGAAGAGTTATGACCAAGGGGCATGGGCTGGCTCAACTCAGAGGCAGTCTCACAGCCCACCACCTCCTCTGGCTTACAGCTGACTCTCCATCTCTAACTAGCTCCTTCCTCTTAGAGTCAAAAGCTGGGTGAAGACAGTTGGCAAGGAAGAAGCCAGGGGAACAGAAACAAAAGCCAAGGAAAGCTGAAGAGACCCTTGCATAAAAGCACCACAGAAGGGCAAGCAGGAGGCTCTGGAGAGGCTGAGGGGGGCACGTGAGGGCAGCCCAGGCTGCCTCTCATGACTGCTCACCGTCCTGGTGGAAAAGCTGCAGGATGGCCGACTCCTGGGGGTTGAAGAACAGTGTCGCCATGTCGTTGTAGGTCTCATTGGGGCAGAAGAAGGTCTTGATGCTTGCATTCAAGTCCTCAGAGGAGTCCTGACCAATGGCAGACAGCAAGACAACCTTGTCAGGCTATGGCAGCATGCTGGGAGCTGTCACTAGGGCAGGACTGGGCCTGCCTGCAACAGAGACCATGGGGGAATCAAACCCAAGACTCTGAGGACTGATCTGGGGCTTGACATATACTTGGCCAACAAAAATAATACGAGCACCTGCTTTGCCAGGGACAGCTCCCCACCCCAGCCCCGCAGCATGGGTTCTGCTGCTGAAACTCTACACACACAGGCATTATTTGCAGACAGAGGCTGCTGTGTTGCTATAGATAGCAGGCACTTTTGTGGGGAGAGAGTGTTACCTGCAGACTCAGGGAGCCATTGCCACTATGGTTGGTGGAGGACATCTGTCGGCACTCCCCGAGCACCATGGAGGCGACAAACACCACAACGGTGGTGGTGAGTGACACCAGCAGGCTCTCCAGGACCCTGTAGGCATAGAACCCGAATCCTGCACCGAAACTGCATTGCGCAGGCACCGGCATATCCCTACTCCCTGCACAGAGCTCAGCACTGCTCTGAGTCGCGGTGGGCAGAGACTGCTCAATGCTAGCCCTGCAAATTCCAGCTACTCTATGAGGCTGCTCGCTCCCACTGAACCCACTGAAGCTACCAGCATCAGGCCCTCCTGCCCATCCCAGCAATTGGAGATGACCTTGCCAGGATCTGAGATGTGGCTCTAAGCTCTCCCCCATCCCCAAGCCCTCTCCCTTTAGACACAGCCACGTGACTATTAAAAACAACTTCCCAACACAACTTTTAGTGGCCAACGAGCTTTTCTCTCTCCTTCATAATTTGTTTTTGCCAAGTTTAATTAAGTGGCAATTTCTCATCACCAGGGATTCAGTTAGGTAGCCATTTCTTTTCCTAATGGAGCATACACAGTCCAGTTGTTAAACCCGATTAAATTAACTAGGCAGTTCAGTAAGAAAGACTAGGGGAGGGGTGGGGTGTGGATGGTAGTAGAGTCAATTGTTCCTTCAGCCACTTCTGGGACTAGACCTAGAGAGCCCCTGCATGATGATGCGGTATATTGCAGACTGTATTTTGGTAGCTGAGAAGCTAAGAACCATGGATCTGTTTGTGTACAGCAGCTTTGGTAAAGGATCCCTTCATACTCATTATAAAGGAGTCTTGGCTACTTGTATACCACAAGAGACATCACAGAGAGACCCGAATTGTATCAGCCACCCTTAGCACCTTCTTTGCAGCTTGTCTGCCTGACACCTGGATTTTAGTGCAATGTTTTGAGCTGCTAGGTTTCATAGATTTCATAGACATTAGGGGCTGGAAGGGACCTTGTGAGATCAAGTCCAGTCCCTCCCCACCATAGGCAGAAAGTCAGCTGGGATCAAGTGAACCCAACAATAAAAACATCCACGTTTTCTGAAACAGTGCGGAGTAGGTGCTTGCACCACCTCTGAGGGGAGTCTGCTGTTCCAGACCCTGGACACTCACACCATAAAGAACTTGTTTCTTAGGTCGAGTCTAAATCAGCCTTCCTGAAGTTTATGGCCGTTAGACCTTGTTATCCCTTGGGGAGCTCTGGTGAACAGGTGCTCTCCCAGGTCCTGATGTAACCCTCTTATATAACTGTAGGCTGCTACCAAGTCACCCCTGAGCCTTCTCTTTTCCAGACTGAAGAGTCCCAAGTCCCTCAGCCTCTTCTTGTACAGCTTGCCTGCCAGGCATTGGATCATAGGAGTGGCTCTCCTTTGGACTCTCTCAAGCTTATCCACACCCCTCCTGAAGTGGGGGGCCCAAAACTGGATGCAGTACTCCAGCTGTGGTCTCACCAAGGCTGAGTAAAGTGAGAGGATAACATCTCTGGTTTTGCTTGAGATGCATCGGTGGATGCACGCCAGAGTTTGGTTTGCTTTGCCAAACGAGGTTTTGGTATTGTAAACTCATGGCCCCTTCCGAGGCTCTGTGGGCAAAGACAGTGCAGACACATGCAACAGTGCAGGCAGGGGGGAGCCTGGGTACCTGACCAGCTTTGGCTTGGGGTGCACGTTGCGCATGCGGTACTTGGCTAGCCTCTTGTTCAAGCAGTTGAAGGTGGCTCCGAGAAGGCCCCCGACGATGCCCATCAAGATGAAGAAGCCCAAGTCCACAGCCGTCCAGAGGTGGCATTTCTTATCAGATTCTGAGCACTGAGAACCAAAAGGGAAAGCAGAGATAAGCAGGAAATGGAAGAGCACATGGAGTTGCACGCAGCACATGCCAGACTCCCTCAAGTCAGTCTATTACAAGCAGGGCACCGCTGACAGCACTGTCCACAGAACAGAGCCATATTTCTGGAGGAGGAGCTCTTTCCCTTCTGCAGGACTCTACAACTAACTGTATGGATCTGGGCAGAGCAAGGACCACTGATGGGCAGGGGGAATGACATACAACACACCTTGAACTCGCCAAAGTTGAGCAACCCTGGGAGCTGGAAAGACCCCCAACTCCCAAACTGAATCCCAGAGCGGAAGAAATTCAAGGTGAAGGTGGCAGCCATGGAGCAAAAGAGCTGGAGAAGGAAAGAACAAAAACAACTGAGGTCAACAGCAGTGAAGCCTTGCCTTTGGGTAAGAGATGATTGCATCCTACCAGCACTGAAAGAAATGCAAGGTAAATTTTAGCAGCTACTTTTTGTAATCGTGAGGGATCACCATGGTCACCTAGTTTGACCCCCATGGCAACACAGGCCAGAGCATATTGTCCAGAAATCCCTGCAACACGCCTGCCTATAAGTTCTCTTTGGGACACTGACTGGCTACAGTGAAAATAAATTTGCACAGAACTAATTCAGCTTGTTGTTGCCTTGTCCTTAATTGGCTCTGGCTGGTGTTCTGGACTTGGCAAAGCCCACAGCTCTCTTTCTCCACTCTGGGAAAGGAGCCTTGCAGCATTCTAGTAGTGACACAGTGCTGGGTAGGAAAAAGCCCAGTCACATTCCCCAAGGCAACTGCAAGAGCAAGATTAAACTCATTCCAAGAGGGGTGCCACAGAAATGCCAAGCAGAAGCCACATCAGCACAGTACCTGAGCAGGAAGGAACCTAACTGCAGCCTTTGCCCTCACATAGCATCTGCCTAGTGAAAAAGTGGGGGCCAAGCCAGCTCTTGGTGCTGCCCTGATGCTTCTCAACAGCCCTTTCCTGAAGGCGTTTCTGCTTCCTGGCACCAAAACTAGCAGCAGCTCACATGGGCCCATGAAGCTTTGGGGGAGTAGGGCTTGGCTTGCCTCTGGACCACCATGCTGGGACACCCCTCTCTGGGAAGGAGCTGACGTCACTACTCACCACTTTCCACGTGAGCCCCTGGTTCCAGAAGGAGGATCCCTCCTCCAGGCTGAAGAGTGTGCCCCCAATCGGGGCCCCAAAGGCAGCCGCCACGCCTGCAGCGGCTCCAGCTGACACAAAGTCCCTTTTGTCCCTGGGTGAGGAGGAAAACAAGGACACTTCATCAAGGCAGTCTTGGAACAACTCTTTGGCCCCCATGGCCTTTCACCTCCACGAAGACAAAGGGAGCTAGAGGAATGCGGTGCTATGCAGCAAGCTCGCAGTGAGCAGGCACTTCCTTCCAAAAAGGCTCACATTGGCCTGGTGAACTGGTGCAGTATGACAATCCTATCTTCATGCTGCCTCAGCCCTCTGAATAGACAGGAGACCATGATGTGGCCCATCCACATGAGGGAGTCTCACCTGGCCACCAGGTCCCTGCTTCAGGGAAGGGCTCCCCTCCAAGCATCGCTTGAACACATGAGCCCCCTGGAGGGATCTGTATCATCAATTCCTATCCTTTGGGGAACCCAGCTGGGACCATGCTCTGTAGCCAGGACCCAATAACTGCTCCAGCAGCACAAGGGAAACCTGAAAAATTCCAACATGCCAGAGACAACCCCCGCCAAGAGCCCGTGCCTGCCCCCAGCACGAGGACTTTCTTCTCATTGGGCACAAGGAGCAGAGCTTTGAACTACAAGATGATTCAGAGGGCAGCATGAGAAGGCAGCTGGCACCAGGCTATTACTGGTACACTTCTTTGAGGTCATAAGCTTCTTAGGATAAAGCTTTCATAGAGCTATGTCAAGTAATTAACTACATTCCCGTGATGCTTTGCTAGTTGTGCCAAGAGTCTATGTGAACTCGGCACAACCTTCAGTGCCATCAGCTGTTTCTAGAATCATTTAGCAAGAGTCTCTTCCTTCTTCTCACTGACCCGCAGAAATTGTGCGTGCCTTGCATTTTTACATTTCCTCTCTGAAGCCTACGAGATGGTTGCCAAGTATGCTTGGGGCTGGCACATTTTCAGCATGCTTCACACATGCTGATTGCCAAAGGAGAACAAGCTAATTCTACAGAACTCAGCTGGCAACAAGGGAGCTGTGAAGAGGCCGGTCTGAAGTTCTGTGCTGCCACTTGCTCCGTTTCAATTGCTATGGTATCATGACAGACCAAGGACTGGTAATGTGCACTGCATATGGCTGGATCAGTGATGATCCCTCAATCAATTAGTCACGTTGTACTGTTGCTTGCAGTCACCACAGGGAATAGAGTAGCCTGCACTGTCCAAGGGCTGAAACCTACTTGGAGATAATGTGGGATGCAATGGTGCTGCCCTGCAGCAGCAGGACCCTGGAGACCAGGATTCCCAGGGGGGAATTCGAAGCCTCACTGACTGACCCATTCAGTCCAGACCCCTACTTCCCTGAACAGCCCCACTGAGAACACGCACCTGTCACTGCGGAAATAGGGGAAATTAAACTGGATCTTCCTCAAAGAGATACTCTGGAACTGGAGAGAAGGACAAAGTCAGACACGGTGACATGGGTGAAGGCAGCCCCATTCTCCCATAACATGTAGGAGCATCCAACCCAGGACCCATGACTACTCTGCCTGCCTCTGCCCTGAGGCTGCAGCAACAAGAGGAGTGGGGAGGGAAAGCAGACAAGGAAAATTGTTATTCAATAAGATGGTTGGCTGCTCTCCCATCAGGTCTTGCTTAGAGCATTTGATTTATGCCAAGGTGGAGAGCTGTGTCCCTGAGGGACGGTTGCAAAGCAGCTGCAGATGCCACCAGCTTCGGCTGGCCACTCTCCAGCACCTTTTTTTTCCTTCCTCTCAGCCTGTGAAGGAGATCAATGCCCAGTGTTGCGCCCCTGCGCAGTTCCTTGGCAGATGCCCTTGGTGAACTGGGGGCAGCTTTGCCTCCACATCTCAGTACAAAGAGCGCAGACTCCAAGGCCACATACAAGGGTTTTGTCACTAAGTTTCTAAAAGAATCCATCTCATCCCAACCCATGTCTTACTTAAGGTGAGAAGGGATAAACTGCAGAGCATGCCCTGCCCAGCCCAGCCCGGAGAGCAACAGGGCACTGCCAGCACTCACCTGTGGCAAGCCAGCACCCACCACAGCCCCACTGTGGATCATGGGACCCTCCTTCCCCACAAAGAGACCTGCAACACACAGAGTGCTTCACTGCATGGCTCTGTTGGTCAGTATGGCCTGCTCCCTCCGGCCCAGCTGTGACAGGCAAGGGCTCCCAGCTCCTTTGTGATGGGCTACATGCAACAACACACCTCCACACAGGGTGTTTCCAACCTCCCCATAACAAGGCAAGAGCAGACAACGATCGCTGACATGAGAGCTCACTTCTGGGTTCTGGGCAGCGTCGGGCAGAAACAGACACTGCAGGGTGCAGCTCTGCACTGACATGTGTTTCAGCACAAGAACTTTCTACCCCATCAGGCAGAAATGCTGCCCATGCCTTGCATAATCCCACCAGAGATGGTTTCACCCAGGTGACATTCCCCACAAGCCTTGTTCAGACACTGCCAAGGAGCATCTTGCTTGCTGGTTCCCACCTGCCTTCCACAAAGCAGCACCAACTTCCCTGCCACTAACTGGCCCGCTGGAGCGCTGTTCTTCACTACCAGGTGTTTAATTCATGGCTCTTTATCATTTCCAGATTCTGCAGCCACCCAGAAGCTTGCACTTCCACCCTGACCCAGCTACATCTCCACAGAATCAAGTTGCATGCACACACAGAGACAGAAACTTCCACCATTGCTTCTTGCATGCAATGACTTCTTACAGACTGAGGAAAACCCACCCCACCCACCCCTCTTACCTCCAGCCACACTGAAGAGCACACCCAGAGCTTTGCACACTAGCGTCCGGAGCCGGACTACCCCAGGCACCTTCACCCCATTCAGGTAGCATTTGATCTCAGGGATGCCAGAGCCAGCAGCCACAGGCTGCAGAAAGGAGACAATTGTACCAGGCATGTCAGTGTCCAGCTTAGCAAAGATCAGACACTGACAAGTCCAGAATGTGCTGCCAGACTTTATTTTTTAGTGCCTGCAAAGTCCTTGGACCAGAAAGTGTAGCAGGAGGGCAAGAGCCTTGGCACACCGCCTGTGTTAGATAGGAAGGATTGGGGTGGGGAGCACGGTCTCACCTGGATCAGGACAAGCAGGCTGGCCATGAAGACGAAGGTCAGGTTGAAGCCCAGCAGCTCCAGCAGGGACAGGGCGAGGCAGCCCTTCTCACTGCACTCCTCCACCGCTGTGGGAGAGTCAAGGAAAGGGGCATCTCCTGCAGAATGCTCTGTGGGACCTCCTCCTAGGGATCCAGCCTGCCTCGTCCCCTCCCAGCCAGTGTACTCACCACCACACCCTGGAAAACAGAGCCCCAGGCCAGCCCCCCTCCCAGCCAAGCTATCAGAGACATCTAGCACAGCATGCTTTCCCTGGAGCAGCATTCTCCAGTACGCTGTCACAGGGCCCAGCAACAAAAGAGAAGTGCTGGTAGCACCTCCTGTGCATGAAGCAGAAGAGTCAGGGCAGCACGAGACTGGGGGATAAAAACAGTCAAATGAGACGCTTCCAGCAGGGCATGGGATGCCCTGCTCAGCTCACTGTACCTGCTGCTAGCCAGAGGTAAGTCACATTCCGATACCAAGGGGTATTAGAGGGGTCGGATACAAGATGAGCCCAGTGTGAACCTCACTTGCAGCTCCAAACTAGCATCCCATGTGGGGGAGCTTTGCCAAAAACACCAGTGTCAGAAAGCCCAAGTCAAGGGGCATCCATGCTACCTCATGGCCAGACACCTCTGCCTTAGAGACTGGCCCAGCTGCTGAAGCAAAGCCCATGGCTGGAAGCTTAATCATTAAATCAAGAGCCATGCAGAGCTGACGAGCTGTCCAGAGGAGGCAGCCTTTAGGAGCAATGAGGTCACCCAGCACAGCAGAGCACAAAACCAGGCAGAAGGTAAAGGATACAGCTTTGTACCAACCGGAACTTGAGCTGGGAGAAAAGTCGGACCGAGAAATCTACAAATAGTCCCACCTAGGAAAAGGCAGCAGCAGGTATGAAAGATGACCGCTCACCAGTGCCACAGACCAGCCTGCCACGTCCTGGGAACTCGCCATGCCCAGGTCTCACCAGGTTGCCTCAAACCAGAGACAGACCTAGACCCAGACACTCCCTGGCTTAGGCACCCTGAGAGGTCTAAATGCAGGCAGCAAAGCAAGCATCCCTAGAAGCGGTTAACACAGTTCTGCTCCAACTTAGTGCCTCATCAGTCTGCTCATTAGCCGCTTACGACAGATGATATCCCCTAATCAGAACACTGGCATTTGGGGAATCTGCAAGGAAAACCCTGTGAAAACACAATCAACAGCACTTGCAGAGAGAAGAATGCTATCCCATAGGAACCAACTGAATTTCAACCCCCTGCAAGTCTCAGGGGGGCCGGACCAGCCTTGGACCCAGCTCTGCTTTTAAGGAAGCCCAGGGCCCTCTCCTGTCATAAGCTCATGGAGACCGCTGGCGTCAAGCCCTTGCATGCTCCCCACCCTGCAGACTCCTTACCAGGCCTGTGCAGACGCCGATGGCAAAGACCACCACCCATTTGACTGCTTCATACCTCCGGCTTCTCTGTTCGGGGCGGAAAAACAAAGGCAAGTCAAAGCAGTGTGCGGCGGGGAGTCAGAGGATGGGAGGATTGCAATCACCGTTTTGGATGGAGCCGGAGAGAGGAATCAGTACAGACAAGCACCTCCCGGAGGTGACACCAAGCAGGGCTAGGAGCCCGAGCCATCAACACGAGGCTCAGGACGGGCGCCCGGGGCCGAGACGCCCCCAGGGCTGTTTCCGCCCTCCTGCCAGCGAAGCCGAGAGCAGCACGGCTTTGCCCTCAGGGGTCAGACCGGTGTGCGATGGCAGCGCTCTGCGTGGATCCGGCTCCCCGGGCCAGGGCGCGACAAAGAACGGGCTCCTACCTTGTTGTCCAGGCTTTCCAGCACCTCCAGGTACGGGTCATTGATGCAGCGGTCGTAATCCAAGCTCTGGAAGGACACCCCCTGGTTAACGCCCGAACCCCAGGAGACAAACCCAGGCCCCGGGGGGTGAGGGGCGCAGGCCGAGGGCCTCGCAGGGGCGCCCGGCCCCGCACCTCATAGTCCTTGCGCGGCAGGATCTCGTCCTCCTCCTCCTCGCGGGTCTCGCCCAGGATGGTCTGCGGGGGGGAGCGGGGTCAGG